ATAAAGCCATTTTGTAGGCTGGATGTGGCCCTGGGGTGGTAATTTGGAAGTAGATGTAAATATATTTTTCTTTTGTATGGGTATAATGGTATAATAACACCAATATGTTTACATTGAATAGTGCCCTTCTCAAACCCATGGTTGCTTTACAATTTCAACAATAAACATATAAAACATACAGATGAACAGCAGACACAACACACACACACACTCACTCTCCCATCATTAGTGCAGAACTCTGGTGCCCTTAAGCCTCTGTCCAGACAAACACTTCTTTGAGACGTGCTGTTAGGCCTTACCGACATAATTCATGACATCAGAGCTAAATGGTGACATAACGTCTCAACAAAGACAAACTCTGAAACTTGACAGTGAAGCGCGGCTGGACTCTGACAATACATGTCCAGATTAGACGTGTGCTTAATGTGCTGGGGTTTGCACTGCTTGTGCTGCGGCTTCGCAAACGCGCCATGCTTAAGGGATTGGGTGGGATTATGGGCAGAGGGATGAGAGTGAAGGGGCTGTCTGCAGTCATACTCCAAATGAAACCTATGACCTAGATGAGTAGGGACGTCTTGGGAATGGGATTACACAGACTAGAGAGGGCTTAAGGCATCCTGGGCCAACAGTTAAGAGGAGAAAAAAAAGGAAATGTGGGTGCGCACAGAGAGTGCAGCTTTGGCCTTTTTTCTTTGCTGTCACTGAACAGTCAACCAGTTGCGAACACACATACACATACCATTGAATCTAATTGCATACATCACTTACATTTGCAGGCTTTTAGGCAGAAAACTGCATGAACTAGCATGCTTTCAACTGAGGGGGTTTGACTAGCTTTTGAGTGAAATGTAGTTAAGTTAGAGGGCTCTGGAGGATTCCCTTATCGGATGATAGACTTAAGGCAAGTTTTTTTATTCCTTGCCTGGTTCACTGGAAAGTCTACAAGTTGTTATTGATGAGCAGATAAGAAAAACCTTTAGAATTAAAATAATGATTGTTATTAAAGACTTTCAGTCCAATTAAACAGAAAAGGTGCTTACCAATGTTATATTTAATATATATATAAATTAAAACAATTTAATAGTAGACGAATGCTCTAAAAAGTTTTGAGCTGCTACGTGCTTAGAACTGTGTAGGTGTGTCAGATCGCATAGTGATGACAGTGGAGTCTTCCAGGCAACGTAAACAACCCGGTGCCAGTAGTAGTGCTGAGCAACACTACCAATCAGTGTAGTTCAGCCCTACACATTTGAGCCTCTCCTCTATATCTGAATGCTCAGCAGCATGAACATTGAATCCACAACCTACAGCTAGCTAGCTAACTGCTGGACCAAACCTCTGAAATGGAGGTCACACAAACTCCCATTATGGGTCAGCATGGACATATTTATGGATGCAGTGGAGAAATTTCTCGTGTGCCTCATTGTGCTCCACGTAAAGTACAGTTGTACAACTACAAAAGTAGAGGGGAATACTGTAAGCCTTGATGTTAAGGAAGTAGCTAGCATATCAGCTTTTTATTCCTACATTTAAGGTGGACCAGTATCTATCTCACTCTTGTAAACAAAGTTAACCTGCTTATAGTAGGATCCAGCAGCAATTCAGATGCCAGATGTCAGCCTTGTTATTGGTAAGCGAAATGCTTAAAGAAGAGTTAGAGAAATATGGTGAAATATAGAGGTCATTTATTAGTCATGGGAACATTATTCAAAGGGTATACTTAGTACATATTTGCTGTTTGCCTGCAAGAACAAGATTAATCTAATTAGAAAGAAAACACAGATTTAGGTTCCCTGGGTCTTTAAGTTAAAAAGTTACATCAGAAGATACACATGGAAGGTTATCTGTATTCAGACTTGTGCCAAGCCAGTGTTTAACCTGATGATGTACACATTTAAATCAATTAATTCAGTGCATCACCTTTTTCAGTGTACAGAGCTGCTGAACTTGCATTTCTCAGTTTTGATTGATGGATTAAGAGCTGAATTCAACTCTCACCTACTAATAAAAGTTGCTGGCTAAATGTCAGTGTTGCTGCATGTCAAGTTACACAGAGCTGTGGTGTCTAACTGATCTATTAGGACATTTTTACTGTCATGTTATTAGCTCAAAATCTTGTTTATACTTTTTAACTTAAAATCAATACAATTGATAAAAGTCCAAAATGATGCTTGGCTGAAACAGCTGCTGTTAAGCACATCAGAATTACCTAAAGCGCTTACACACGGGGGTTTAAAACGCAACTGCACTGTAGTGTTTTGGTAGAATACACGTGTTGGATGTCGCATTTTGTTATGACACATTTTTCAACTGCTTAAACAAGCATGTTTTATTAATGATCAGCCATAATTATTACCTATATGTAGTGTTTTGTTTCACTGATGAAAACACAAAGTGGGAATCTGGTGGTCATCACGTTTGGAATAAAATGTGAATGTGAATGTCTGAAAATATTTCGACAAGCAGGTGCTGAATATGGGTGGACAGGTTGTGGCTATATAGTTGATTCTTATTGGCATAATTGCAATACTGCTATGCTCTTACAAATGTATGTCTTGTTCTGCACCATGAATAGGTACAGTCCTATATGTTGGTTTTGAGCCCAAAAATATGAATTTCTGGAACAAATACTGTGATTACAACAGGGGCGCTGGACTTGATACAGCTACAAGATACTGCTCACAAGACAGGAACAGAAAAATGAAATTTGAAGTTCAAATTGTGAATAACAGACTGTGCACAAACTACTTCCACATAGCACAGCACAAAGGGAAAAATTAGTAGACAGGGGCTTTAAGAAATTGGGTATTTCTGTAAGTATGGCTGTGTACTTGTATTAGTGTCTATCGTTGTTGTCAAAAGAAAAACAAGTATCCACAAAATAGTAACTTTACAGGAGAAGGCAAAAACAATCTTACCTTTCAGTGTAAGTTAAAGTAAAGAGATTTTATTCTAAGTGATTTAGAATTTTATTGGTCCAATCATCATGAAATTTTCACACAACGTAAAGGACAGCTGGTGTGTTGAAATGATGTAGAAAAATAAAAATCGACAAAATTTGAGATACATGTTTTTTGGACAGCGACGATATATAAGGGCCCATGGTTGTTTGTTTGCTAACTTAAATATCTAAAATCTTGATATATTGGGGAAACACCATGACATTGAATTTTGTTTCCTAGCTCTAGTACATAGTTACAAGAACAGGGGAACAGAAGTGTGGACCCCCCAACAGATCTTAAGAGTTTAAGAAGGTAATGGTAATGCTAGGTAATGCTAATGTCCAGCATCAGCAACTGCCAGGGGTCATGTGGTCAGAGTTGTGGCACTGAAAGGGGAAGCAATGCTCAAAACCTTAAGTTCTGTTTGTCCCTGAACCATCTGTCGCCATCTGAGAGACGGCAGGCGTTTCCCGCTCAGAGCAGAGCAGTGGCAGTGTGGGACGGAGTAGGCCTGGCCCTTCCCCAGCAGTCCTGCTAACAGCACAGGCCCCGTGGCTATTTTAGGCCTGTATCTGACCTGTGTGTGTGTGTGGTCACTCACAGGCCAGCCAGCTCACCTTACAAAAGAACCAGAGACGAAAGACTCTCTGTTCCTGAAAGGTAATGCCATTCTAATCTGAGTTTGACCAAACCAGGTGGCTGTTTAAACAGAGGCATGGCTGCGTATGCCCCCCTATCAATGACTTATGATTAACAAATGATTAGAATTTGTCTCTAATTTAACTTCACAGTATTCACAAAAGTGCATTTCTTGCCACTAATTTCAGTGAAAATGATACACAGACACCAGCACATGATAATTATACAACTGTGCTCCATTTTCCATTGAAAAAGTTTGACAGAGTTGCGTCAGCCAATAGGAGACGGAGTGCATCTGGGCTTCAGTCAGCTTCATTAATTTTGAACAAAACAAAGGAAAAACTAATTGCTGCTGCTATTAACTCTCCTCCTACAAAACCCAGCTACAAAGATGTAGCAGGTGGGCAAATGGACTTTTTTGCCTGATTGAAAAATAACAGCAAACACATGTAGCTTTCCCTTATGAGCTTTCATGTTTGAATAAGTTTCTCACTCACATTGAGCCCCACCACAAACACACCAGCAGTAACATAACCAAAATATCTTTTGAACGTAGCCCAATGCAATCTCTGGATTTAAGCTAAAACTGTACAAGTCTTTATAAAACAACAAATTACACCGTGGTGGACAAAGTACTTATAACTGATCTTGTTTCACTTAAATGAAAGTAGACTTACTCTTGCTAAAATGTAAAGCAAAAAATCATCTATACATTTTTCTGCTAGTTAATGAACAAATGTACTTGCTTTTAAACGTATGAAACTATCAAAAATAAATGTACAGTTATTTTGCTATTCTAGCTATTATGTCATATTGTTTTCCATTTCTATTAAGACCCGTGTGGCTGCAGACATGAAAAATAGAGTTCAAAAATAGGCTAACTTTACCATTTGTTAAAGAAAACTTAGTTTTTTCAATCAGAAACAAGAGTCACATTTAATAAATTTCGCTAGGTGTGAGATAAAAAAAAATGCCCCACAAAATGTTAATGTAAATTCTGAAAGTTGGTCAGAGGTGTCCAGGCCTAGTTACAGTTTCTAACTTCTAATTTGAGATTTAATATTTAGAGGAGGGGTTTACTGGTTCTATATAGCACCAAAAAGGGTTCTGCTATTGTTATTATGTCAACCTTTTAACAACAAACAAATCCTTTTTGGTGCTTCATAGAACTGTTTTCAAAAAAAGTTCTATATGGATCCATATATAACACATTCTCTATCAATCTGAAGAACCATTTTACCATGCATTCTTTGAGTGTTCAGGGTTCTATACAGAACCATTGCCTTTACTAAAGAACCTCTTTAAAACTATCTTTTTAAGAGTGTATGGCGTGACTCCAAAGAATATTTCTTTACTTTTTAAGAGTATACAAAGATTTCATATGTTAGCGACATGCTACCCCACTGTATAGGGTCTTACCTGGTATCAGATTCATTGATCCTCTTAAACCAAATAACTGCTCCAGAACAATCGCCACACACTGTTTCGATATCAGCTTCCATGAAATAAAATAATATGGTGCATGAATAGAAGGGATCGCATTCCCGCACCCTTCCTCAGTGGATGTGTAGTGGAAGCCTCGCCCGGGGCTGCTCACCCATGCGCACTCTGATAGAGCCCAATGAGAGATTGGACCAAAAAAAGTGCCGACGGCAGCATCCCGCTGCAGACAGGCTAAGCCCAGAGCGCCGGCACACGGGCCAGTCTCGACTCTGCCCGGCCCGCACCATCGTCCTGCTGCGGCCGCCCGCTCTCCTCACCCGCTATTCCACTTCCTCTCACACCCCGAAGCGCCACGGCATCTTGTGTGTACGTTCACACACACAACATCCGGTTTGTGAGCAGAGACCACCACCGAGACAGCACGGACCCCAGCGCCCTCTTTTATGTGTATGTGTGTCAGACAGAGCTAAGAGAGGGTAGTTTACGGAAGTGAGGGAGAGAGAGAGAGAGAGAGAGAGAGAGAGAGAGAGAGAGAGAGAGAGAGACAGAGGGAGACAGCTGCTACTGTCATTTAACACAGTGTGTCCAGTCCACAGTGTAATTATCACACACAAGACGTACTGCAGATTTAAATTAGAGCTATTACTACTGATCAAATTAGTAAAGAAAAAATAACCTAGAGATTATTTGGAGATTAGGAATGCATGACGATATTAGAATTATATGGTTATCTACCGTTTCAGACAACTGTTTAAATGTGACCAACCTATATTTGATGACTGTATTAGTAGTAGTAGAATGTTTAGGTGACTCTGGGCTAGTGGGCTATATATGTGGGGTATATATGCATGTAATGTAAGTATGTATGTATGTATGTGTCGCTGCTGTCGGGACAAAACCTTGTATCAGTTTTTGACATAATAATGTTTGTTGCCCTTTATACTGTGTGTTAATTTCATGATGAATGGACCAAAGAAACAGCCCAAAAATTTTACTGCAGTCATAACCATAAACTTTGTTGCTACCAATGTTGACCCAGTGACCCAATCTGCCAATCTGTGTCCCCTGCCGCTGTAAAACAGAAGAATTGCATAAACTTTTTTGGTTTACTTTACTTATCTGTTAAACCTACTAATGCAAATCTAGTAACACTTACTATTTCTTAAACAATGAGTAACTAAATCTAGTTGAGATCAACTGCACACGGATGATTATTTACAGCAAAGCACAATTAAATGAGAATTTGACCTAACTTGGCTGGTTCAAGTTGACCTATGTAAATCGAGAGTAAGCAGAACTCAGATCTTGCTAAAGTGTGTGGACCACTGAAAAATGGAAAGGAACTATCACTCAAGTATAAAGTTATTTAAACTTGATTCTGTTAAGTAACATTCATCTGTTGAGGTAATAATTTTGCTTAATTCACATGAAGCGTTTTAAAACTAATCTCTACTATCACGCATACATCCACTGCATTACATTTTATGCCGCTGACTGATCTGTAACTCGCATACCTGTTTTTTTTTACAATACTGTATTAGCAGTTTAACTTGGGCGAAACATATTTCACAAGATCTGCTCTAATATTAGTAAGTCATGAACATGTACCAGCTACACGTCACTATACAGCAGCATTTAATGGAGAAACCACTATATATGTTGTCCTATTCTCTTTTCTAGTTTAATACTGCCTACTTTTTTTGCTTTTCTGTCTTCCTATAAGTGCCAACATTCAGGTTAGAGGACAGAGAGATGAACAAAAACCTGCTCAATGTTACTATCATTTTGGTTTAGCATGAGAGCATGTCTACGGCTGAATCTCAAATGGCTCCTTACTCCCTACATAGTGCACTGTCATGAATCCAAACAGAGCACTAAATATTAGATAGGAAATTGTGCTGCGTTGACTAAATATGAATGGCTTTCTTTAGACATATAATGCACTGTTTGTGTGTAGAGGCTGTTATTTCATGACCTATGTAGTGCATATATAAGGAATAGAAAGCCTTTTGAAATTGAGTCATTATTTAACCAGCTTTAGTTGTGCTATTGTTATTGTAGCACCCACAGGTAGATAGTCACACCTCAAAGCTCTGTGTTTTCACTGATAAGTAGAATAGCTTGGCAAACAAGCAAAGAAGACAGCAAAGTGCACAGGTAATCACTATTATGGAATATAAGCATTTTGTAACAACTCAAGTACTGCTGTAAAGTGCTCACACATTGGAAAAGAGAATCCATTACCAACTACTAATTACTTCTCTCAGACTGTAATGGGATTCCTTTATTCATTACAACCCAGAAAAAGTAATCTCACTTCTCATTACTTTACTTTTAAGTTACTCTCTAAAACCCACACAAATCTGTACCAACTGGTAAGTCAGCGTGAAACCCAATCGTCCTTCCAGTACCTTATTTAGAAAGAAGCCAATCACAATAAACATCATTTAAAAGTCCTTTTGCTATCCTTACCTTAGAATAAGACACAACAAGTAATGCTGATTAAAATTATGCGTGCAAAATCTTTAAACTAGCATGAGTCTAAAACCAGCTGCCTCAAAACAAAAATCTTTGTGAATAAAATCATGCAAAGCTTATAGAGCTGCTCCTAAGGGAAATTTGAGTCTGTCCTGTTTAGATGAGGTTGTGTCTCTGTTCCACATCATGGGGGGTTTTATCCATCAGTCTCATATTAGTATGATTAGATGCTTTGACAGGCTTTGTGGAGTTTATGGGGAGAATGTAATGTTTCTCTGTTATTCTAATCTAAGCAGATGCAGTCCCAGTTTCTACATTACAGTTGTATGCAAATGTTACATGTTCAGTTGATTTTCTAAGTGAAAATAAGTACACATTCTCTACAGAGAACACACTTGCATGTTTCAATGCACATTTACTTTTTAACCTATTGGAAAAAAGAACACAAAATATGGCCTGTGCAAAAGTTATTGCGCATTTTGTATTTTTTTTTTATTTAAGTATTTAAGTTTGTTTCTTGTAGAGAATAGAGAATGTATTTCAAATTTTTGCATATGACTATTTAAATGTTTATGTATTGAAATCAGCAGATACGTACATGAAATATAAATCGGCCTCGGCTCACAATTCTCACATCTGTGCATCTCTAATTATTTTGACAATTAATCAAATAATCAGAGTTTTTTTTTAAAGCCAACAATAAAGACAGAATTGGAAATTGGAAAAAAAATGAAGCCTAGCAGACCTAGTAAATTAGATACGATTAGATTCTACTTTATTGTCATTGTGCAGGTACAGGTACAGAGCCATGAATTGCAGTCAGCGTTTAACCAGCAGTGCAAAATACAGTATTATTTACATATAAAGTGCAGAAAAGTAACCGTGGTAAGCGATGCTGTGGTTCCAATAAGTACAATTAAGGACAGTGAAGTGATAAAAAATATAGATATTGCAAGTATAAATATAATATACATGTATACAGAGTGAGTGGAGAGAATGTAAATGTAGGTAGTATGTACTGTGAGAGGGGCATGTGTAAAATATTAAGTAAAAGCATGTACAGTAACTGTCTGTGCATATAAATAGTGTATTAAATACATGACTAAACTAGAAACCAAAATATGTTTTATTCAATATTTGACATATTTTGGTAACATATAGAACTTCCCAGAAAGAGTAACGCAAATAACATAATATTTATTCTTATTTAAATCAGCAACTGTAATGTGATTCCAAGAATCTATACTATAATGTGCTACACTACTTCAGGAAAAAGTAATTAAAAACTGTAATGACTTACTGGGTTACGTCCAGCACTGACTCTAAGAAATAAATGTAAGTAGATGTAGGCCAAGTTTTTACATTGTATACATGTTCATGTATTGACATCAGCAGCTATACGCATGAAAAACATTACATATCCCACAATTCTCATATCAGCATCCCTAATTTTCATGGTTAATCAAATAATTGTTTTTTCTAAAGTTGGAAATTGGAAAAAAGAGAAACAACGAAGCATATTTAACACATAGTTAAATGTTGTTTAAAATGTATATTAAAAACTAGAAATTAAAATATATTCTGTTTTATTTGATATGTTAGTACCTTTTGGGAAATACCTAACAATACTATGTAAAAAGTAGTACATATTTTTTTGGAAAAGTTATCTGCCTGAAGATTTCATCATTATTTTCTCAAATATAACGCATTATGGAAATATATTTTTCATTTATTTTGCACCCATATTAATTTTGCATACATCAAAACTTTCTACACTAGAAACGTTTTCAGATTTTTTTTCATATCAGTCTTTTGTGTTTTTTTTTGTTTGTATTTAATGTAACAACATTGGTTTATATGATTGATTTTTTATTACAAATGTTTAAGTAGTGATTCCAAACTTTTGACCAGAAATATACACAAAAAAATGTTAACACATGCATGCTAAAGACCACTCACAATACACGTTTATTTCCACAGTTATTTCACTGAGCCCACTCCCATGGGTTATCTCAATGAATGAAGACCCTCATAACTCTCTAAAGAGTGTGAAGTGTTTCAGAAGGGGCTGATGTATCTCCCACGGCTCCAGGAGCTCAGTGTGAAGTCTGTAGCAGCACCACACCCCTCTCGTTCCAAAAGCTATTTTTACAGACGCCCACACAGCCAGCGACGGGCGCTGTGGCATGCTTATTAGGGCTGAGGGCTGCAAGGGCATCTAGCCTAGCAGTGCAGATATCACCTCAGGTCCACATACTGTATCTCCACCACAGAGACACTCCATATTGACAAGGAACATGAGAAGAAGCATGTGAAGCATCCAAAGCATTTCTGAAAGCTACAGTTTGTATTTTGAGAGACATGTTAGACTGCTTAAATTCCTCTGTATGAAGTTTAGTTATTAGTCATTGACCCTCAAAAGTTTTATTTTCATTTTGCTGCAATATTGGGACGTAATTTTGTAATTAAACTCATGTAAAAGTGTAAAACATCATTTTATTTTTCTGCCAAAACGACACACATTTTTACGCCAGTAACTTTCCATCATGTTCAAATTTGCACATCTCTAAAAGAGTTGTTAATGTGTTTTCTACTGAACAGTAAACTATAAATTAACCCCTTAAAATTCCAGGCTTATTACATACTAAGGCTTATTATTCAGTAACTACAGGGACTTCAATGCAAACTGGTGAAGCTATTCTTAGGTTACAAAAGTGTATAATAAAACTTTTGGACCGCCGACAGGCCCTGGCTTTTTTAAGTTGTTAAATTACAGGTTGTTTTGATTTCAAATGAACGTTTTTACATGACTGGTGTAATTGGTCACAGGAATTATGTACTTTAAGCAGGCACCTGAGAAAGACAATCTACAAAAGGAAACAGTAAAACATGTTATAACACAGCCATAACTACCATATTTGGTATATAATCTTTAAAGGGTCTATATT